GTCTGCATCTGCGAAAGGCATCCCGTGTGTGTGTGCGTCTATATGTCTGTGTGTGTGTGTGCGGCGAATGTGTGCACGTCTGCTGTAGCAGCACTTTGCTACAGCGGCTCACAGTCGCCCTAGTCATGACACCCGGGAGCTTGCCCTGCGCACGGCTACTGTAGCCAGCGTTTTCTTGAGGCTGAAGGAAGGCAAAGCAAGATGGCCACCAATACCTTTTAGGGATATGCTGCCTAAACCGGAGGGGCTTCCTCCGAGGACAGACAAGGTAAAGGCAACCAGAGTGTTCACCCTGGGGTCTATTGTCTCGCTGCAGATGGGTCAGCTACAGTGGAGCTCAGCTAGAGGTTATCCTCCGTTGTCTCTCTCTCTCTCTCTCTCTCTCTCTCTCTCTCTCTGCTACCCTGGGTTTAGCTGATTGAAGTGCTCTATTTGGAAGCTGGTGTTGTTATTGTTCCCACTAAACCACTGAGGACCTGGTCTTCTGTGTGTGTGTGTGTTTGGCTTGTCTTTTCCAGGTGGGTTTTTTAAGGATGTGACAACAAACTAAGCAACAAAGAGGTCAGTTTCCACGGTAACAGAGACCCCTCTTCTTTTTTTTCCCCGTTGCGTGTCTGTGTTTTTGGGCTGTTGCACTGTATAAGGAGCCCCTTTGCTTCCCCTTTTTTTTTTTTCGTGCAGTGTTTTGGACAGCCATATTTCTGCACCTGCTGTTTCCTGACTGCTTAGCAGAAAAGTGGTGCGCTCGTAAGCCTTGGGTCGTAACTTGTCGTAATTTGGCAGGCTTTGCTTGGTAGTAATGGTGTTATTATTGTGCGGTTTGTAGAAAAGGTCTCTCTGTTGCTGAAATAGTCTTAATCTGTACAATTTTATAGGTGATTAGGCTCTGATTCATGCTGGTGCACTGCGAGCCAGTTCTGTTTAAGTTTATAAGGTTTATTGCCAGCTATGCAAACCATTCTTTGTCGCTGTTTTTCTCTTTTATGTAGTGTGTTTTGTGTGCCGACTACGTGACATTGGGCTCAGCGCAGACAGGAAACGCTCATTCAATGAATGAAGGAAATTCTCACGTGTTCAGAGAAACCACTACTTACTCCCTCAGTCAGGAAGGAAGCATGCTTTTTCTGGTTTACAGTCGAAGTGTTGCGAAGTGGCGCTTCTAAAAACGTGATTTCTGCACAACTGAATGTTATTTATGAATATGGAGCATTCTCCTTTTTGTTGCAGTTGATGTGAATGTATGAATGCATGTTTTTGTGTATATATGTTTGTTTGTTGGTGTTGTTAGGTCACAAAGGGATACACAGTCCTTCAATCCTCCAGGGAAACCCGTGTGTCTCTCGAGAGGGAAAGGTTTGTTAGGATTCGAGAAGTGGCCGCACTTGTGTTGCTAGGGCACGTCTCTGAACGTGTGTTTTGTGTGTGAAGCACTCACCATTAGCTACTCAAGCATACGTTTTGTTTACTCTTACGGCTTTGACAGGCACAGCAGTTGGACCGTGTTTGCCTGACACAAAAGGAGGAGACTGTGTTTGCATTTAGAGCAGCGCGGTGACATGTACTCGAGTGACTTTAGACACCCCGAGGCAGACACTACAAGCACACAAAGACACAGCCCCAACACATCACACACCCAGCTCTCCCCAGAGACCCCGTGGTTAAATGAGAACACATGACTCTGCATTTACATCCTGCGTTAGGCTTTTTGTTATCATAAGGCTGAATGTAGCATAATTGAAAACAGGGCTTTGCTTCAAGTCAGATCATAAACTCTTGAATGCGTACACATGCACGCAGACACGTGTGTGTCTGGTGCAGCGCTGGAAGGCAGCCAGTGCTGCTTTGTCATTGAAAGCAGTTTATTGTGACACACTACCTCTCACCCCCTTCTCTTTCTCTCTCTCTCTCTGCTCCTCGTCTTCTTCGCTCGCCTTCTCGCGTTCTCATTTGACCGTCGCCTGTTTCCACATGATGCGTGGAGCAAGTATCTCACCCTCTTGCATTGTCAGGTTTAGTATTGCCTCAGCCAGAGCTCCGGCTATCTGTTGCATCAGCAGCGTGTTTCTAGTAGTAAGACACAGTCCTGACAGACACGCAGAGTGCAGTGGACTGAGGAGAAAGTGCAGTGGATCAGAGAGGGATCAGTGAAAAGACCTGCTGATCAAGCAGCTCCATCACATTAATCATGTTAACATTTTATTAATAATAAACAGCTCCGGTTACTGGAACTCTCCCATGAATTGTCAAACAACAGTTAAACTTCTGCTCAAAGAAAAACCACCAGGTTCACAGGGGCCAATCTTACTGAGTCAAAAGAGGCGGAGCTTCTATCTGAACAGCATGTTTTATGGATTTTTAGCAATCAGGCTGGAAACAGTCACTTCTGAAGAGGTAAATATAGGCATTTTTATTAGCTTCAGTTGTCTTAACAGCTTGTGCACATACTTTTCTCTCTTCCCTTACGATTTAATACCTTTTTCCCCCCACCACATTTGTAATCAAACACTAAATCAGCAAAATCAACACAGATTGGTAATACTATATGTGATAAAGTAGAAAGTATGAAATGTTCTCTGAAACACAGCCTTGATCAATCAGCCCAAACTAAACACACTGTATCCCGATCACCATGATTAATAAAGGATCTTGAGAAACAACTTCCCTCTGACTTCACACTGCGCAGTAACAGATCTCCTTCTTTAATACACGCGATGCGAGAGATTGCTCAGCATTAATCCTCTTATATCTCAGTGCTGCCTTCAACACCTTTTATTTTCCAACTTTAATTGAGTGCTCCAGAAGACTGCCCCACCTCTTGTTTTTCCAACATGTTCTTCCTCACAGATGACAGTTCATGCTTTTAACAGCCGTCACATGTGGGATGTGACAAGCCTCAGTTCTTTTTTTCATATGCTTTAAAGTGTAACACACTGTTGCTATTTTATCCAGATTGTCTCAGAATCTTTTAAGTGGACCAACATTAGCTCAAGATTTGAGCTGATTATCAGTAGTAGTGTGACTTTGAGGATGGTTTGGTGAAAAACAGTAAAAATGTGTTACAGCAATACACAAGCAACTGTGACTCAGGAGGTAGTACAGATCTTAAATCTTAATCAAAAAGCTTCCTCACTGTATAGATTGCATCCATTTCTGTATTTGATATACTACTTTAAATAGTTAAATACAGTGAAAGTGGTATAGTAACAGTATATCAGTAATGTCTGACGGAAACAGAGAGAACAAAGCACCAGAGCACATGCAAGTGATAAACACAAGTGTTTTCTGTTTGGTCTGTGGGCTCACAGGAGTCTGGTTTATATTGAAGTACTGTTGCTGCTTACTCTTGATCGGTCAGCTCGGCGTGCACATCTCCTGCTGCAAAATGCATTAAAACAGTGGCCATGGTGGAGTTTAATGGCTATTTATGCCAGGTAAACAGTGATAAAAAACATATCGCCAGCTCCCCTGCAGTCACGCTACTTCATTAGTGGGAAAATTAGATGCCACATAAACTGCCACATACACATAAACATACAGCACACACAGCTCATAATAATGCGCCCATATCCTCCAGCTCCTGCAAATGAGTTTAAGATCCTTTTGTCAGCTGAGTCTTGGCACATGATGCAGTATTTTTTTTTTTTTTTTTTATCTTTGTCACGCTGCGACATTTTTAATCAGTCTTCCACTGCTGAAGGCTTTAGTTCTGAATGTGATGCAGTGTTAGGTCCTAAAATAAGAAGCAGCTTGACTTGATTTCAGTTGACCTTGTGCTTACTCAAGATGCTAAAAAATGATAAAGATTTTAACACATTCTGTTGCAGAAATACTATATATAAAGCAGACAAATTTTCGCAGAAACATGTAAGCTATAGTGTTATAGCAGTTGCAAAAACACTGCCCTCTAAAGCTTGATGAACTTCCTCAGACACTGAAAGTTATTAAAGTCTGTGGTAGTGTGTTAAAAACAAAGCTTTTTGGGGTAAATCAGTGTCTGTACCTTAGGCCTTTGGTTGATTTTAGCTCATTGAGAATTAGTCTTAGCTGAAGGGTCAAGCAGTGCTGTCGCTGCTCAGTTGTCTGGGAAAGATCTTGGTTGGGGATGGAGGCATGTCTTTTTCTAGATAATTTTCCTTGACATTGTTGGAAAACACCATAAGTTCAAGGAAAGACGTGAAGGAGAATTAATGAAGACAGGAACAGCTTTGAATGTTGCTGCTGCAAGGAATTGTAGATAAACTTTACCTCCTTTCCTTTTCTAAAGGATGTACCACCGTACATTATGTGTTTTAAGCAATGAAGCACCTTCACTTAACATTTACAGAATTCAACCAGCTCTTATTATTGCCACCACGTAAATACTTTTGTGTCATTTCACTCAGATGGGAACCTTCCAAAGCAAAAAAAAAACTGTTGGACTGTAACCCTAGAATGGGTTAATCGCTCACTTAACAATGCATGAGGGTTAACATGGCAGGGCAGCTGCAGGAATAAGCACATGTGCTCACATACACATGCATGAATGCTCGAGAACACGCTTAGAAACCCAGCAGAACCACAACATGTGTATACACGTTGCACAAACGCCCTCAGTGACCCACCGGTAGTGACGCAGTTATGAACTGTGCGTGACTCCAAATGTTTACTTGTTGGCTCTCGGCTACCTGTGGGTCTGTGGCTCTCAACACTCCACAGCGCAGGCAGGAATGTGGTCGTGATCGAAGCCTTGACTGTGCACTAACACAGTTTCACTTTTTATTAGCTGTGTTTAGAGATCAGTTTCGGCAAGATCTCTAGAAAGCACATTTTTTTTCTGTTTTCCCATGCCATAATATTTTCCACAGCCTTGATAGTGGCTGCAGCAGATGCTCATGCCATGCTGGGAGGCAATCTGCTGTGCGGTGTGCCGTGACTGTTTAGAACAAGCTGAATCACTGTGTACTGCCAGAGCTTGTTGAGTCACCTCTTCTCATTTCTCTCTTTCTGTTTCTGTGTCTCAGGTGGTTCCAGAAAGTGGGTCGGTAAATGGCAAAGGCAAGGCACAGATGGATGACACCCACATGGCAGCAGAGGAGGATGAGGGGGAGGAAGGACACATACCTCATACACAGTCTCCCCCCATCACCCACTCGCTCACCCACAACCTGGCCTCAGACCAGGGCGGACGGCTAGCACTTATTAAAAGAGAGCCCAGGCTGGAGCTGACTAGCAATGCACTTCACCAAAATGTATGCTCTTCTGTGACTTTGCAGAACGGTTCTGCTGAGAACCTGATGAAACCTAATGGTGCTAATATGACCACTGGGTCACACTCTGATCTGAAGTCTGCATATAAAAGGACTACAATGGCATCAGAGCCTCAAAGGACTATAATAGCTGCAATCCCTAAAGACTGCTCTGAGAATGGACCCAGGACTCCTCCAGATGACATGTCAGTTCCACTAAAGAAGATCAAACTGGAGGAGCCGTGGATGTGGATCACTGAACAGACCACCACACAGCTGAGTGATGAAGACGAGGTTTGCGAAGACCCGCTGTCGACGCTGGCGGCCGTTGTGTGTCTTTCTGTCACAGAGAGGAAGGGACTGGAGGAAAAACTTTTCAGCTCGCGGTCTTCCATTCTTCGCTCCGTCAAAACAGAGCCACAAGATTTGCACTTTGTCAAAAAAGAGAAAGATGACTTAAAGAATGACTTGTGTCAGAAAAGCACTCCTGTTAACTCACAAAGGACTCCCCAGACCATCAAAAGTGAACCTCCTCCAAGTGTCTTGTTACCAAGTGTGCAGTCTTTGGCAGAGAGGAGAAATCTTAGTTTTGATCAGGCTATTGCTATTGAGGCCTTGACTCAACTGGCAGCTATACCTCAAAGCACCCCAGGGTCCATTAAAGCTGAGACTAAGTGTGAACATCCCATTTCTGCTGCTGCCCCATTCTCAACCTCCAACACAAATACATCCCTGCACGAAGCCAAACCCACAGCAGCTATCCGCCACAACAAAGTCTCGGTCATCAGCTCACCACTACACCAGACGTCAGTCATACGCCCTCCTGTGGCCAGACAAGGGAACGTCATCCAGTGCTCCCGGGGGTTGAACACAAAGCTGTCTCTGCAGGACCTTCTAGAGGCCAGCTCAGACAGTGACAGAGCGACCTGCAGGTGGACGGACAAGGGCTACGGTTCTCATGTCATCAAGTCAGAATGCAGCTATAAAGACCCCAGTGACATGAAGTTCAGCAGGGATCATGAGCTGTTGTTTGGGGAGGACAGAGACGGAGTTGTTGGAAAAGTAAGGAGGAACAGAGATGAGGAGGAGGTGGCGGCTCAGCTGGCAGATCTGGCCTTCATCATCCAGTCCCGACACAACCAGCGGTCAGAGAACAATCCTCCAAAAGGAACTCCCGTTTCAGCTATCAAGTATAACTTCAAATCCCAGCAACCCCCCACTCAGAAAAAGCCCCTCATAAAGAAAACAAAAGCTACGCCTTCCAAGCCCAGGAAGAAGAAAAGTGATGGATTACATGAGGGAATCAACTGCAGGACCCCCCTCTCAAAACGCATGCCAAATGGAGAGACGCCCCACAGAAGCAGAGGCCAGAAGATCCTCCCGCAGGGGAAATCAGGCCTTTACCACAAGAAGAACCTATTTCTGCCTCAGGCTCAAATCGATCTGAAGAGATACTTGGCTGAGGCTCAGGAGGAAAGGAGGCAACTCATTCATCACAGTAACACACACAATACAGCCTTCTTAGCGCAGCAGAGTCAGAACTACAGCACTCTCACGAGGATCAACCACACTCGTGGTCAAGAGAACCAGCCATGGTCCCATTTTAATGGTCCACTTCACCAACACAATTCATGCAATGGCTATGCTGCAGGACCAGAGGAGTGCGAAAGGCATTTGTTATCTCAGGTAGCGCAGCCCTGTGGTGGGCTGCAGCACGGTGCTGATCCTAACGCCAGCCCAGCCAAAACCGCTTTTCTCAGCCAGGCCAGCGGGCACCACGGTTTGGCTAATGGCTTCTCGGGGCCTCGTCAGTCCCCTCCTCCAAGCCAACAGGGCTACTACAAGCTGGAGAGGTCGGGGCCAGTGACGGTCTTGTCCACGTCTAGTGACGGAGTTCAAGGCCACTCTGCAGAGTCGACTCCATCCAAGAACAGCGTCAACAGCTTTCTGGAGTCTCCTATGAGTTATCTGGACACCCCTACCAGGAACCTGCTCAATACACCTTCCAAAAAACTGGCGGATCTTCCATGCTGTCAATGTGTGGGTGAGTTGGTTTTATTTAAGATTTTTCTGAAGAAAACAAGTAGCTTCTGTGTTGGTATCAAACTTGATATATTCCACTGTGTAACAAAATCTGCCTTGAAAGTTTGCTTTCAAGTAAGACTGCTGTTCTTTGACCTCAAACTGAATCTTGTTTTCCGTTTCTCTTTCTCTGATGCAAACACACACTCACGTACACATAAGCTGTGTCCTAATTCAAGGGCCAATTCAAGCAAAAGAAGGCTGCATTTCTCTGCCTTATTTGGAGGAGGCTTTGGGATGCTTTGCAAAGTCTTGTTGACCCATTATGATGTATTTGTTCTTGAAATGCAGACTTTTAAAGTGTTGGCCTTTGAACTGAGATCCAGCTACGTTTATTGAGTGAATCGCTCCTTTGTCAAAACTGTCTAAAGGGATGCCAGAGTTTTTCTCAAAAACATACCGGCATCACATCAGGGGAATCAAAGCAGTGGCTCTTCTGAAACTAGTCTCTTGCTCGACCATTGTGCTGTTTGATAATCAGTCCTACAAAGTAACGTTTCTATGCTATCCCTTAAATCTTTTTTGTTTTCCACAGACCAAATCATTGAAAAGGAGGAAGGCCCTTACTATACTCATCTTGGAGCAGGACCCAGTGTTGCTGCAGTGAGGGAGTTGATGGAGAACAGGTAGAGTGACTACTACTATCACGTTATTTACACCGTGTGCATGTGGGTGTATTTACTACTAAACACGCCGAGAGCCTCCTAGTCAACCACAGGCTCTGTGGAATGGGGTGGGGTCACAGCTGTACTCTGTCATTAAAAGGAAGCATTTCTGAGATAGCTGCACGCATGCACCCTGCGTCTCCCTACACACATGTACACAAAACACAAACACACAGCATGCTGAAACAGGAAACCCCTAGAGCTGAGACGAGGGGCCCTTAAACCAAGTTGACAGCTTGTTTAAAACAGCTTTCAGTCCATCACCGTCCATCTGACAGCCAGTCTTAACTGAAAAAGTGTTGTTCTGCAGTTTTCAGTGGCAGACATGATTTTGTTTTAGCAAAGCCATTTAGTATTTGCTCTAATTACATCTTTAACATGATAGTAATAGTGTTGCCCTGAGGTTTAGTGAGGAACTGTGGTCTAATATATATTATCATTGATACTTGCTCTGTGGTTATTAGCATGTAAGGCTGCAAGTACTAATTATTTTCAATAATTATAATCTGTAGATTTTTTTTTTTTCAATTGATCAGTTTATTGTTTGGTCTATGAAATGTAAGAAAATGGTGAAACTCACATAATTAGTTCAAAGACCATCAGAAATGTGAAAATCTGCCCGTTCTTTTAATGTTTACACTTTCTGGTTTTGATAAATGGTGTAATTTTGGTGATTTTCTAAAAAATAACACGCCTACTGTGGGTCAGAGGGTTAAAAAGCTGGAATTCAAAACATTCAATCAATTGTCGTAATAACTGCTGATCAGTTTATTAAATGAACTGTTAATTGTTGCAGCTCTAACAGAATATGTGTTTTCTGTGCCACAGGTATGGTGCCAAAGGAAATGCAGTAAGGGTGGAAGTTGTTGTTTACACTGGGAAGGAAGGCAAGAGCTCCCAAGGGTGTCCGATAGCTAAATGGGTATGTGGTTGGTGTTTGTGTACATTTTGTTCTAAATGTCCTCAATATGTCTGCTATGTTTTGAAGTATTCCACTGCAGTATATTTAGGGAACAAGATGAAAGCCAGTCCCACATTTTTACTTTTATCACCTCTATGGCAAATCCTTATTGGCCTCCACTCATGTAACCTCAGTTTACTATAATACATTTATTGTAGACACATTAAGATCTAACAATGACCCTTTTCAAACCAGTGTCAGGTTTTTTAGGTCAGGACCGTGATTTAAACTCGTTGCCCCATGGAAATCGATTACTTTATGATAAAATTTTCAAAAAATGCTTTCTTGTTTTGCTCTATTTGTGGGTGTTGAAGTGTTGTTATTCATCTTTGTTTTTTATAACTTCTTGTTTTCTATGTAAAATCATCTGACAGGTAATCCGGCGTGGCAGTGAAGAAGAGAAACTGCTGTGCTTGGTCCGCCAAAGGCCGGGGCACCGCTGTGACACTGCCGTATTGGTGATCCTCATCCTGGCGTGGGAGGGAATCCCTCGGCCGGTGGCGGACCACCTCTACCAGGAGCTCACAGAGACCCTGTTTAAATACGGCTCCCCCACCAGCCGCCGCTGTGCCCTCAATGAAGAGTGAGTACCTCTTCCTTTGTTTTTCAATGACACTACTTCTTCCAAGCTTTTCTTTCTAATGTCTTTTGTCTCCCCTTTTCACTCCATCGCCGCAGTCGCACATGTGCATGCCAGGGTTTGGACCCGGACACCTGCGGAGCCTCTTTTTCCTTTGGCTGCTCCTGGAGTATGTACTTCAATGGCTGTAAGTTCGCCCGCAGCAAAGTGCCCCGCAAGTTTCGCCTGCTTGGAGACTACCGTGAAGAGGTGAGGGAGTGTGTGTTTGTGGATTTACAGCAACAAGTAGTGAGACTGCAATGTAGCTTATAAAACAATTGACAGGAAACTATTTATTACCTTCTCCCCTGTTTGTTTCTTCTTGTGTTACGATGATGCAAGAGGCTATTTTATGTATATTCAGTGTGGTAGTCTTTACTTATATTTGGCTGAAGACATTTTAGATTTTAACTATAGATTAAATTGATCTTTTTCTGCTTAGCTGCAATATAATTTGCAAAAGGGCCAGACTTAACTAGTTAAATCTTTTCAAACTTTTGCCTCCTAGTGGCTTATGTTGAATATGACAATCACAACCATGGACAGAAGTATTTAACCAGCATACATGTTTAAATCAGCAGTTATTTACCCAAAACGTCCTGAATCTATTTCTTTTAGGAGGAGAAGATAGAGGGCAACCTTCAGAATCTCGCCACTGACCTCGCACCACTCTACAAAAGACTGGCTCCTGAGGCTTTCCAAAACCAGGTATGACTCACTGTGGGCTGATTTTTTTTGCTGAAATATAAGGTCCACCTCTATGATACTTACTTACCATAGATTCTTTACTACTTACATTTTTACTTGTTTTCATACTTGTGTCCCATCTGCTCTGTGTAGATACAGCCTGCTGTTCAGCCCAGTTCAGCCAAAAAGTCCCAGAATTTTTTGTCATGTGACTGTTGGGTGGAGCTGAGTCACAAATGGCTTCATTTTTTGTTTTTTTTTCAGAATCTGAGTACTAGTTTATTTTTAGTTTATTTTCTGCAGATTTGTATTTGGGACATGGATCTGAATGTGATGTCAATAAACTGTCACAATTTTAAGCTTAGATTTTGCTTATTTTGCATAAAAATTGTACAACACAGACGTGTAGTTCAGGGACGATCAGAAAGTCTGAATATTCCTTCTGTTTTACATTTTATAGTCTCGATAAATGATGTAATTTTAGAGGGTTAAACAGCCAAATCTCTGATGATCCTCAGCTGTCTTTGGCTCTTATTAGTGACATTTCAACAGAATTGATTTCATATTTCTTCTCTTTGCTCTCAAATTGTAGCTCCACTCTATATTGCTTCAATGATCTCCTCACAGTTTATGGTCCAGATGTATGGATTCTGCTGACTCTTACTTGCTAAACATTCATTGCTTTGTGAAGCTTCGTTTAGTTGATATGCTGAAGCAGCAGAGAATGTGCACTTCTTATACAAGATAAGTTACCGCGAGTCTGTTACTGTCTTCACCACAAACCAAACTCTTCCTGCGTCTGCACCTTTCCCCTCTCACAGGTGGAGAATGAGGCATCAGGGGAGGACTGTCGGCTGGGCAGGAGGGAGGGACGTCCTTTTTCTGGGGTCACAGCCTGTGTGGACTTCTGTGCTCACGCTCACAAGGACACTAGCAACATGAACAATGGCAGCACCGTGGTAAGCAGTCTGAAAGTGTGACACCATGCACTTGACTTTCATATTCAAAGGTCGATGGTTCTAGTTTTGAATCAGTGTTTCCTGTATTGATCAGATACTGTTTGGTTGAACCATTTTCCACTTGTCTCGTTTCTTTTTTTTCTTTTTTAAGGTTTGCACTTTAACCAAGGAAGATAACCGTGCAGTGCGTAACATACCAGAAGATGAGCAGCTCCACGTGCTGCCACTTTACAAGATCTCCGACAGAGATGAGTTTGGTCAGGTTGAGGGCCAGTGGGCCAAGATCCAAAGTGGTGCACTGCAAGTTCTGTCTGCCTTTCCCCGAGAGGTGATTGAACATGAAATTAGCTTTTGTTATTCAATAGTATGCTGCTGCAAAAAGGTAAAACTATTTTATTAACATGTATCACGTTTTACATCATTGATTTTGTTGTGTATCAGGTTCGTCTGCTGGCTGAACCGGTGAAATCAGCCCGTAAGATTAGGCAAGAAGCTCGTCAGAAGGCTCAAGCAGAACGGATGGAGAAGAAGCTCGGCCTGACTCCTCTCACTCCAGGGAAAGTAAAAGTTGAAACCCCCAACAAAGGTATTACATCAAAGTTTATGGTTTTTCAAAGTTTTATAAATTAGCCGTGTTTCCATATCGGATTTTTTGAAATGTCAAAAGAAAAAAACTTTTCTGAAAAGAAAATGTAAATTAGGCTCGTGTCCATTAATGCTTTGGAACTAATAAACTCAGCTGTGTAATGTAATCAGAAGGTGGTGGTGTACGCTACATTATGCATGACTGTAATAAACAGTAGAAGAAGCAAGAAGCAAAACCAGAGGCCTGTACCACGAAGCAACGCACCCAGGGCATCTTTTTGTTAACTGACTTCGCTAGACCTAACAACCACTTTCAACTCAGTAAGTCAACCCAGGATTCCTGAATCTAGCAATGATCACATTCACATGAAAGGTGTGGAATTGGCACTAGATGACCAATCACAAGCATGGATAGGTGTAGAATCGTGTTGTTTTTATAGGAAGAACAAACTCTACACCTAAACCAAAATGAGGAGAATAAAAATGCTAATAGACACATGGCTACATCAGCCAAAGTAGGAAAAAAAGTTGAATGCAGAATGTGTAAAGTTAACAAGCTTCTCAATATCATTGCTACATTGTACATAAATTGCCTAGATGTAGCTTTAGAATTTAAGATTCTCTTTAATTATCATCGCTCCTCACAAAAACACAAATTAGACAAAGAATGACTTACCACATTGCAAAAATAAACATATTTTTATAATGATGTGGAGGATAAATTTCATATTCTCACATTGAATTACATTCCTGTGACGTGTACGACAGTTTTAGCCTTATGCCACTGCTGTAACCTCTTGAACACTTTTGGGAGCAACTGAAGAACAAATATAAAAACACTATTCAAACTGGTAAGTAAGCTTACTGCACATCTTATAAGGTCAACAAGTAGGCTATAAGGTTTTAGTGTTTTAATCAGTTTCTGTTTTAGGATTATATCGCTTCACAAGGGAATTTAGAACAACAAAAGGCTCTTGAAATCACTTGCAGCTCAAACAACTCCTCTCACTATCTGTGCACTGAGCTCCATGAAATCTTGTACAAATGGTGAGACTTTTTTCCAAAAGCATTGTTCGGTCAGTAGCATAGATTTTAATACACATTATTCCGTTGTCTTGAACATTACCTGCTCCGGAGCAGGTTAGGTGTTCAGCATAAGTTACCGTGGTGATATACCACTGTCGTAGTTCTAAAAAACCCCAAGTTAAACCAGAAGTTACTCACTAACCTCAAATCCTGCTTCATAGTACAGGCCTCAGTTGTTTTCTAACCGCTAAGAAACCTTAAAAGAAGAACAAACAAATTAAACTTTGCCCATCTAAAAGAGAGAAAAAAGAGAAAAGGTGATTCCATTTTCCATTATTTTGATTAACTCTTTTTTCAAAAAGTGGAAAAAAATTACCTAAAGCAAACTTAAAAACTGTTTCGTGAAATTAAAAATGTTATTATTTATTTTATTTTGCCATTTCTATTAATTTTTTCTAATGTGATATTTCAAAATGTTATAGAAACACGGCTATTTGGGTCAAATTGTGTAATGCTGTTGGGGTGTCACCTCAGATTTTCACAACAAAAATATGTTTGTTTTCTGCTTTCGAAAAAGAGCCACAAGGCTACTACAGCGCTTACAGACTACCACCCAGACCTGCCAGTGTTGGAAGGTACCCACCTGAAAGGAATCAACCCAGCACTTACAGCCAGAGCACCAGCAACTACCCCACTCCAGGTGCAGGGGTCGCCCCACAGAGGGAGGTCATCTCGCCCAACCACCACGGCCTGCCGGGCCTCCAGTTTGGACAGAATGGCTCAGCTCTCACTTATAAGACAATGAGTGACACCATGAATGGTTATTCTCCAGCATCTGGTAACCAGAGCATTCTGTCAGAACATATACCTCCACACAACACCCTTAGAGACTACCCCAGTCCTTTTAAAACTGAGCCCAACGAGGTGCACTGCTCTCCTCTGCGCAGACTCTCCCCCAGTGCTCCTCCTCCCTCCTCTTTCTCCCCCAGACCTACCTCTGAGGGCCTCTTCAGCAGGCTCAACGGACTCCACAGGGCTGCAGAAGATGTCGCAGCAGAGGTCAGGGATCATGGCCTCCCTCCGGTCGCATCTCTCGCTCTTCCCCTACAAGCTCCCCCAATTGAACCGGAGGAAGTTAAGCAGGAAGAGGTGTGGTCGGACAGCGAGCACAACTTTCTGGACCACGAAATAGGCGGAGTCGCCGTGGCACCATCGCATGGCTCCATCCTAATCGAGTGCGCGCGGCGGGAGCTCCACGCCACCACCCCGATCCTCAGGCCCAACCGCAGCCACCCCACCCGCATCTCCCTGGTCTTCTACCAGCACAAGTCCCTGAATGAGCCAGGCCACGGAATGGCTATGTGGGACGCCAAAATGGCCAAGCGGGAACGGGATCGGGAGGAGGAGGCCGAGAGGTTAAGGATGGAGGGCAGCCTGGGGAAAAATGCTGGAGGGGCGGAGGGAGAGGAGGATGCAGGTGAGGACGCAGAAGAGACGAGGAGGAATATGAATGTCCCCACACGTCAGGCATGGACTCTCCCGAGGGATGGCGTCATCACCGTGTCCCCTTATGCTCTTACCCAAGTGACGGGCCCTTACAACCGCTGGACTTAGTCAGCATGTTTTACACCTAAACACACACGAACACACACACACACACACACCCACAGAAACTCCTACACCCTGTGCTTCTGCCTTACCTCAATCAACTTCAAACTGCTACTCTCATTTTTATGTCGTTTTCATTGTGCTTTTCTAATATCTGTTAACTTTGTCCTTCTTCGTCTCTGCCTTCGAAGTGATGGGGAAGACCAAAGTTTGTTGGCTTTTTAACTGTGAGTTTCGGTGTTGGTTTTTATTGTATAGAGATGGTGCTTTGAAGCATTTAAAGACGTTTTTAAACTGGTTTTATATACATGATAACGAACAAAAAAGATGTGATTATTTATTCTGATCATAACGATTTCTATTTAATTTCTGGTGTAAGCCTGTTTACTGCAAGATTTCTATGATAACCTGCATTATGTGTTGACGCTCAGAATTTATGTTGTACAGTAGGACTATACTTTTTTTTTTTTTTTTTTAATTTCAGCCAATAGTTCTCTTTTCATGAGATGAATCTGATTGGCTTTTACATTGGTGCCATTCTCACTGTAATCTTTGTTAACTCATTACATCACATAATGTAGAATACAAGACTAATATTGTGCGTATATTTACTACAGATTGTCACATGTAGCATTGTGCTTTTCCTTCTGCTGCCTCTGACTTCCGTTGGTGGTTGATGAAAGAACTGTACGTCTTTGGTTTCTTGTTTTGTTTTTTTTCTCTACATCTGGATGGTTTGTCTTTTATTCACAGATATGTATGGCATATTAAGAAGCACTTTTTTTTATTTTCCTAAACCTAACTTGAAAAAGGTCCCAGTCCATAGGCCTAAATATGTATGTACAGACAGAGATATATATGACAGTTTAACATGAACCCTGTTTTATTTTTACAGTATTTCTGCATTTGTTTGCTTTTCACTCATTTGATCGAAAACGGCATACATATCAAATGAAACTTAATGAGGAATCATGAAATGCTGCATTAGTGAAGTGCTTGTCATTAGTGGCACTTAACTTTTGTTCAGCTTCTGGAAAAGAAATTCAAAAGTCTTTCAGAGGGAACAAGTGTGATCATAGGAATTCAAAAACTTACTGTACATTTTAATGGTGCTAACGAAACCTCTGTTTGTTTTTTACAGAAACCACAAAGTGTCACATTATGTCAAACAGAATATTGCCAGCTTTGATGTCCATACTCTGGATTTGAATATAAAAAAAAAAAAAAACTGTGTTAGCCACTGCTGAATAGTCAAACTATTTCCTCTGCTGCCTCCTCCTCCTCTTTCCTCTTGTTGTAAAACCACTCAAACATCAGATCCCACTCAGACAATTGCCTAAGACGATTTCGGGTGCTCGACCCTCGTGAAGACTTTGTTTACAGAACTTTCTTACAGGGTCTGAATAAAGGGGTTGCTGTCAACTCCTGGTGAATCAGGATTTTTAGTCTGTTTTTTTGTTACCCATGAAAGAAAAGCTCTTCATTTTTAAGAACACATTAATAAAATTTTTAGCACAACCGGTAAAGACCTTTCACTGATATTCACACTAACGCTGATGGCATAAACATGTTTGCCTTTTTTTTTTTTTTTTTTTTTTTAAACACATTCTTTGACTTGCTTTTGGTGCTAATAGGACAAGATGTCAAGGTACACACATTGACTTAACCTGCTTATTTACTTACATAACAGTGATGGCATGGTGCTTTTTCAAACTCAGCACTCACTGATCTGTTGTAGGATTCAATGCAAAGGTAGTTTTTATCATTTCTCTGGAACGTTACTTACTTGACAACAGACTGAGATGCATTAGCTGCGATGTTTGTCGAGCGCGAGTACAGGAAAAAAAAAAGAAAAAAAACAGGCAAATTACTGTGCAGATGTCCATGTAGAGTTCAGATGTCTTCCACGGATAACCCAGCTCTCCAATAGTTCTCAAAAATCACAACATACATGCAAGAGAAATGAATGTAAACAATTTTTAAATCTGTTGATTTAGAAAGAATATTTTCAAACATCACATGACAAAATTACTGTTGTAAATGTTTCTTTCGATTTACTGTGGCTGACTTTTTCAGTCCACGTTGAACATGTTTGTATCAATAAGGAACTAACAAAGAGCACCAGCATTCAAAAAACTGAAAAAAAAACAAAAAAAAACTTTTATTAGTAGAAAATGTGTAAATATGTATGTGAACCACATTGTTTTTACTGTATTGTTAATGGTGTTTAGACAATGGGTGATCTTGCTTATTTTGAAACTGAATTACTGTATGTTGCTGCAAATATATCCAGTTTAGACTTGAGAAGAGACTAAATTTAGCATTCCTTTTATGGATGGCTGATCTCTTTCGGGATTGTGAAATAAAGTCATATTTATATTTTGGACCTGATCATGATTTCCTCCTTTTTTTTCTCGCTCTTTCTGAGTTTCCCACACTTGCTGTATGACTGTATGACTCACTGCTGAGGAATTCCAGTTTAGAAATCTAGACTTTAACCTTTAATATCTGGGAGTAAAACACTTGTTTTAGCACAATTTGTCTCCTGAGCTGACAGTATGTTGTTTTTTTCTGGCAAATCACATTAAGTATGTAAAAAGAAAAGCAATTCCTCAGTGAGATCTAACTTAATGCCTTCAATAAATGCAAGAATGTTGTAGGAGTTTGCTCAAATCCAAAAATAACATGAATCAGTATACCACAACATTAGTTTTAAGATGTGAATAAACCTGCTGAGATCCACTGTTAATACTTTGCTGCTGAATCAGAAAAGTTGTTTACAGGACCGCACTGCAGCTGCTGTTTTGTTTTTTAACCTTACAGCAATTCAGTGTATTTTGTCCATAATTTTTAAATGTAATCAAGCTCCAGTCATTCAGCTCATGTTTTTTTGTTTGAAAATGTTCATCTTCTAGACTGGTGACCTGTCCAGGGTGTCCCCTGCCTTCGCCCTAAGTCAGCTGGGATAGGCTCCAGCCCCCCCACCACCCTAATGAGGATTAAGCAGTGCATAGATGATGAATGGATGGATCTTCGGTAGCCTGAAGCAGACTCGAGTATCACTATAGCAATAAAAACAGAGAAGGCAGTCTGCAGGGCTAGAAGTACTCAGTTACTACGGCGTAAAACTCAACCATCAAAATTAAGTACCACAAGTATTTATTATACATAAAGGACCATTTTTGAATAATAATATTATTGATTTAAGTTGGCTGTGCTTTTTGCGTGCATATACACATCATGTTGTAGACAGTAAAGGTGAAGCTCATTTTACACACTTAATATTCACGGCTGGGTACCTTGTGAATTCAATTCTGTAGATCCAGAAAGTCTTACATTATTCTACAGATCATAATAATTTAGTTGTTGATTTTTAAGCAACTCTTAAGTAACTGGTTAACACATACATGTATTGGAATACAAAGTACAGTACTACAAAGTCCAAACACCTGAAATTTGTGCTTAAGTTCTTTTATTTTCCACGACTGACAGCAAAAGCATGAGATTTATAATGACACAGACATATTCAGTGATATTTACACAGTGCCACATTATGTCATCTCACTGCACTTTACATAGTAGAGTAAGTTCACACCTTACAGTATTATAGAGAGAAACACAATAATTACCTTTAAGCAGCACTTTGCAAGAGCAGGAAGAATAGTCTTTGGTAGTAATAAGCAACACTTCATGATGATATTAGATCAGCAGTGATGTTGCATAAATGTCATTAAGTGCTGTGAATTTCCAATTATTTCATTTACTGGCTGAGTCACAAAAGACTTGCCTGCTCGTAACTAACTGCTCAATTACATCATTGCATTGCTACAAAATAAAATTACTTAATGCTTCAGGAGAGAGGATTTTATCTACACTGAGGAGAAATATAAATGCAAATGCTCCTCTTTTCTGATTTGGAGAAAATGTAAAAATCTC